TGGAGATGGGAGTTTCCAGAATAAGTGGAAGGTGCAGAAACAGATGTAGATATGATCCCAAATTGTTAGATGAGGCATAGGACTTGATAGTGCCATAGAGGATAAAGAAAGAAAAAAATCAAAGGTAGAGCCTTCAGAGGGAACATCAGCACTTCAAGTATAAAATAAGGAAAAAGCAATTCTATGAAAGAGATCAATGACTGTCAGAGATGTAGGAGAGAAGAGATAAAGTATTACCTGACATTAAGTTACCAGACAAGGATGTTGAAGAAGATGAGATAACCAAGTTTGTAAAGGACTTCCAACAGGTTAACTAGCCTAGAAATGGGTCAGTTTAGTGAGGCTTTGTGGACCAACTTAATGAAGGATATAAGGAAGAAAGAAAGAAAACCAAAAACTTAACTGAATTTTCTGGCTTGGGCCTCTAGATTTGGTGATCCTGTTAATCAAAATAGTCAACATTGAAGAAGTGAAGTCAGAAATAAAAATAGTGAGTGGGAGGCATCTAGGAAACTTGTGTTTAGAGATATCTGGAAGGCAGTCTAAAACTCAGGTTTGTGGACAGGTTTTTGTGTCAGTGAGCTCTAAGGTGAGAAGGTTGAATCATCTACTGAGATGCTTTGCTAAGCAGAGTTAAGCAAACACATGAGAGTTATTATTTTGTGGTGTCTGTTCTGCATCACACATTCATACAGAGAAAAACAGTTATTCCTTCACAAATAAATAACACTAATTCCTCCTGGGTTGTGCATATATACAGTCAAGTGAAGAGTTCACTGGATTTTGAAATCCCTCATCTTGGTGTGGGGGGGATTGGTACTGTTTGAGGTTTATCATGAATTTCTCTATCCCCAAGGCCAAATCAAAATGTGCTGTTTCTGCTGCTTTACCTTTTCTTGTATCTTTATTCATTTGTCATTTCCACTTTCTATAAATTAATTAAAATCCTGATGCTGTAGGTACTGCCATTTTTTAATGCCATTCTCCTTTTGGGAACTGAGCATTGGAATGCTAATATCTTGTCTTTTACTTTGAAACACAGTATCTCATATTTGGCTTAAGCTGTTGTGCTTAAATGTTAAATTCTATTTTGGATATTTTTGGGTTTTTTTTTACATATTTATCTATATTTCATCTATTAGAGAAGCTAATGCTACATTTTAAAGAAAAGAAACCCATATTGGTACATAGAGTTTTTTTAACTTGATTTTCTTTTGCACCCTTCATAGCTGCACTAGCCTCTGTTTATGTATTTGGTTGCTTTTTTTTAGGTATGAGTAGGCAGACCATTGAAGCTTTGTGTAGATCTCAGGATTCTTTTTTATCCACTTTAAATCTCCATGTATTTTATTTTGTTTTTTTGTAATGATTTTTTCTAGGACAAAATATTTTTTAAAAATCAAACTAAGAAAAATTTGAATTTTTACTCATTTCAGAAACTAACTAAAGAAATTGCCATAAAGTATTTAACAGTGCTTCCAATGTTTTGGCACTGACTTCCCAATATTATTACCATAAGGACAAAACAGAGAAATGATGTATTTATGATAGCTGCATTGTGGTTGAGGAATGTTAGCAAATTTTTCTAGTTTTGGCTGTGGCACCAGAATGTTTTTGTAATTTCTGGCACAACTCTTCATTTGTGGGCAGGTTCATCAACAGTAGCATTTTGTCCATTTTATTTTAATATCTGAAGGGCTGCCAATCAATATTTTTTAAAGATATAAATCTCATTTCCCTCCCTTCCTCCCACAGTTTATTCAGCCAGCCATTTATAGTAAACCTAGCAGCAGACTTTGCTGGTTTGGGTACAACCTTTACTTCACTCAGTATCCATTAATTTTTATTTCTGACAGAACAAGCATATGGTCCTAACGCTCTATGAAATCAGACTCTTGGAACCAGGTTCTGTTATAAATTTCATTGCTCGTTACTTTATGCGATGTTACATTATATACATCACTTAGCCGGCATGAAAAGCTGCATAGATGGAACAGATATATTTTGACATTTAAGTTTTACTTTCTTTTTTTTATAAACATGGAATTCAAATAACCACATGCATAGCTTATGGCTTTTCACATGTACTTGTGTGTGTTATTGGCTACAATGTCTTTATTCATATTCAATGTTGTTAATTAATATAAGGAAAAAGAATAAATATTTTCTTTATTGTCTAACACAAAATTGGCAAAATAAGGCCTGAGAGCCAAATTCAGCCCATTGCCTGTTTTTGTATAGCCCTATTGCTAAGAATATTTTTTATATTTTAGATGGTTGAAAAAGACTCAGAAGAAGAATACTTTTTTCACCTAGAATTGACATAAAATTCAAATTTTAGTGTATATAAGTAAAGCTTTTTTGGAATATAGCCATATCCATGCATTTACATATTGACTATGGGTCGAACTTTCATGTTGTAGCAGCAATGTTAAGTTGTTGCAAGGGAAGGGCCCCCACTGCTTAAAATACTATCTTTTTAAAGAAAATGTTTCCTGACCCATTGTCTAATGCAGAGCTGATTTCCTTTTATCCTAAATATCAATAAATTTATACAATCAAACTAATACCATAACTGATTTTTCCCTAAAAGTAATATAGGGAACTTACCTATTTCACGTCATTGTACGTGGTGTTATAATACACTCGTCCATTGCCTAAAGGAAGTTAACATGGACTATTCTGATTAAGGGAGAAGTTTATTCAAAGAATAAGAGTGCTGAGTTTCAAATAAATTCTTTTTTTCTCCATCTTTCATCACTATCAACATGTTTAATTTGTTTAATGAAGGTAAATGTGCAGTAGGAATACCTATCAACTAGAAGGCAAGGTGTCTCTAGGCTCAAAAATTAATCATTGTTTTATTTTATAGACTAACGTTAAATAAATAATGAGTTGAAGTAACTGTGAAAGGCAGATGACAGAGCCCACTAAGACAAGTTCCTGGGACCTTTGATGTGCCTACATTTTCTTTAGAGGCTGAGGATAATTAAACTGAAAGGGGATATCTTATCAGAGACTGCTCTGCATAATAAACAGATACATTGATTTTCCAGAGATGACTGTCAGAATAAACATAGCATTGATTTCTAGGAGGAAAACTTAGCTGTTATCTTGGAAGATAAATTATTTTGCTGGCTCCTTTACCCTAAATGCTTCCCTATTTCATATTGGAAATAATCAAAATGGGCTAGCTTTTAACATACTGGTAGTATAAAATATGAACAAACTTTAAGACAACATAAAAAACCCATGGACACAGACAACAGAATGGTGATGGCCAGAGGAAAGGGGGATCTGGGGATGGGAGGAGGGGCCACAGGGAGGAAAATGGGGACATCTGTAATAGTGTCAACAATAAAAATAAAGGGGAAAATGGGGAAAAAAGACAATATAGAAAGATTTTCTGAAAAGTTCTCTGTTGCTTCAATATTTCATTTTATTCCAAAAGCAAGATTAGGGCTCTCCATGTAGCCTTAAATATATTAAATAATTATAAAAAGTTAAGGGTTTTTAAGGTTATAGTCCAAAATATGTAATGGAAAGAATGTATTTTTTTGCTTCAAATTATTTGTGGAACACTCTAATTAATTAATGCCTCAAATATTTATTGAGTACTTCCTGTGTGCCAGGTACTGTTCCTGACACTTGAGATTCACCAATGAACTGAACAGAACCAAATGAGGACTTTTTGCCTTTGTGGAGTTGACAGTCTAGTAGGATGAAATAGACAAGAACCAAAGTACATAGTAAATGCGTGAATGACATAGCATGTTAAAGAGGATAAATGAAATGGAAAGAATTTTGAGCAGAGGGAGGGAAGATCAGGAATGTCTAGGTGGTTTATGGTACTCAGTGAAGCCCTCATTGACAATATGATACTTAAGTGAAGAGTTGAACAAGCTGTAGGTATTAACTATATAGATATCCAAGGGTAGAGCATTTCAGAGAGAAAGGACAGTGAGAGCAAAGGCTCTAAGATGAGGGAAGGCTAACATGTGTGAAACAGCAAGGAGGTGCCATGGCCAGAGTGGAGTGAAGGAGAGGAGAAGGAAATGAGTCAGAGAAGTAACGGAGCCAAATGACAAAGTCTTATAAGCCACTGTGAGGATATTTCATTCTCATGGTTATGGGGAACCATTATGGGACTTTTTGCTAGGGAGTGATATCATTTCATTCAGTTGACTTATTAAATGGTCTGCTTGGCTGCTTTGTTGTAGGGGAGCCAGGGCAGAAGCAGGGAAAATATTAATGAGGATATTGCAGTAATTCAGGTGAGAAAGGATGGTGGCTTGCACAAGTACCAGTGATCAAGGTGGTGGGAATGGTGGAGTTTGGATGTATTTGAAGGTAAAATGTGTAGGATTTCCTGAAAGATTATATGTGGGAGAGAAAAAAGGAGTATTTTTTTACTTCAATATTTTTTTGTTTTGTAAAAAAAAATATTACACCTTTACTGCTATCAGTCAAGAATGGAGAGGTGGCACAGGTTTTGGGAGGACAACCTAAAGGTCAACTTTGGGTATCCTGAGTTTAAAATATTTATTAAAATAAAATCAATTCTATATGATCCCAAGTGGTACTTTCCCCATGACTTCCTCAGGGACAATGTTAAAGAATATTGTATAAATATTTAATATATGTAAATATATCGAGTGCCACTATGGTGTGTACAAATTAATGAATGAGCATTTATTGAGCACCTACTATTCAATAAGTGGCAGGCATTAGGCTGCACACCATACATAGAGGGAGGTCTAACCAAACCCTTATTAGAACCCCAAAAGGTACATGGTATTGTTCACATTTACAGAAGAAACTCAGGACAGATGACCTACCTGAAGTTCACGTGGTTAGTAAGTTGCTCTAGCTTTAACACTCAAACTCATTATTTCACAACTTCAAATACAGCCTCTTTTTAAATAGTGACTTTACAAAAGAAACATGATTAGTATACTCAATAAACTTCCATTTGTTTAAAATCTGATTTTTATCTTCAGATTATAATACAAGTGAACAAAAACAAGCCTGTAAAAAGCATGAACTCTATGTGAGTTTCCGGGATCTCGGATGGCAGGTAAGAATGATCCAACAATTCAGGTGCTTCCATTCAGCTTTATAATAATAATTCCTGACTATTAAATATATGTATTATGCACAATATTTTTATTTATTTATTATTCTTTCACTATTGAAGGATAATAGTGAAATTATTAGTTTCACATAATTATTAGTATTTACAGTAAAAAGAAAAACTGTTGAAGAACAAATGATATTTATAATATTTAAAAAACAAAAAAGGTACTGTTGTCTAAATATTTCAAACTTTTAATTCAAAAACTATTTTTTCAGATTACCTCAAGCAATTTCCTCTGCCACCAATTTTCCCAAACTATCAGTCTAAGAAATAGAATTCTCAATTATACTGTCTTTGTCATAAAAAAAAAATCAGGCAACCATTTTTTGTTCCTGAACTTAGAACTTTTAACTCTCTTTTACATTTGCTTCATAAACATATGATCAGCTTCACAAACAGGGTGAAAACCTCTGGAACACTAAGTGAGAGACTACAAGCCAGTCTTTATAATAATCCCTTAAACTGAAGTTTTTAGAATATATTGTCCTATTACAATGATTTTCAGAATATGGCCTATTTAATTGAGAAGTAATATTATAATGGAAACATTTTCAAATTTTACATTTGAGCCAAGTTTTGCCTCCCTGGAAAAAAATTAGGGCAGTTATTACATATGCCGATTTTTTAGCTTCCTAAAAATTTTAATGTACAATTTTGAGGAATTTTCTCCAATTAATTTCTTCTAAAGGGACTATAAAGTTGATTCATGGATGAAAAGAAAAACAGTACAAGGAACAAATAAATATTCAAGCTTTAGGAGGTTGATAAGCTCCTGAAACCAGGAATGAGTTATTAAGAAGTAATGAGAATTATCTCAAGTTTATACTTTTTTTTCTGGTTCACTTGAACTTTCCAGAGTTTATCATTTCCTGTTTAAAGAATATTTAGAATGCTATTTTATGATTATGGTTTTATTCATGAATGCATGGGTTTATACATACTATGAATATTGTACATAGCAATCTCTTGGGAGAAATTACAGAGGATATTTTCTTGTGAAAATATTTATATTTTTTTGGTAAACTTCAATGTAGAAATAAATCAAGGGCTTGGAGGAGGCTATCCTTTTAGACTAATCGTTGGACCAAGAAGAGAAAGAAACCTATCAAAATTTATATCTGTTTGAGGATTTTTAAAAACTATTTTTTGATGATACTACTTTTTTCTTTTTTGTGTGTGCATTTTAGGACTGGATTATAGCACCAGAAGGATATGCTGCATTTTATTGTGATGGAGAATGTTCTTTTCCACTCAATGCCCATATGAATGCCACCAACCATGCCATAGTTCAAACTCTGGTATGCTTTGTTTTTGTACGATAGAAACTGGCTTAAAATGAAAGACTCATGTAAAGTTATTTTAAAGAAAAGTATCCATTTATAGTTATCAATGCATTATTTTCTCTTCTCAAACTCCTTTGGCACCTTTTACATAATATTGGTATAGTCAGAAAATTTAGGCTGGTTTAAAGAATGATCCTGATTCCAGATTGGGGAAGGACTCAGCTAGGAAAGTTGGGGTAATCACATGATGTGGTCATTCTGCCCCAATTTCTTCACCATGCAGCATGACTAACCACACAGATTCCCAGTGACTGTTCTTAGCAATTCATTTGTAATCATTGCAAAAACATTGAATAATAGCTGTAGTGAATTTCATCTGAGGGTTCTTACTCTAATTATTTAAAGATAATCCACAACACACTGTGACATTATGGAAATTCTTAATGTAGAATATAAGTAGAAGGCACATTTCTATTTCTTGACACTTTTTGTGTAATCCTTAAAGCAGAAATTAATCTTCCTTTTTCTTCCTATCTGGACTCAGGAATTCAGTAGTGATTTAATCTGCAGTAACCTAGGTTTATTTTTGTGAAAAGATAATGAAATGTTGATTTCATGGTCTCTAAATGGTTGTACTATATTTAGTGAGCTCATGAAATCTCTTGCGAGTCTGATGTACCTGCCTTATGGTGTGTGACTTACTGGTGTGGTAGAGGGACAACCTCTGGTGCACTAAGTGAGAGACTCCTAGAAGGTGCAATAGGCTATGTGATAAAACTCCAAATTAATGTTTTGATTAATATGAAATTTTTTTGTAGTTAGTAGAGAAGGAAAGGAACAAATTATTTTAGTCTCCAGATGTAATGATAGAAATGGGGTTATTTGGTAGATGGCAGTAAGAAAGCAGTAGCTATTGGGGAAAAATCTGTCTCTGTGGATGAGGCTTGTTTATGACCAAAAAAAAATAAGATTAACTATTAGATTTTGTCAGGAGTTGGCTCTTTGGGAAGTTACTTTTCTTTTCATAATTAATTTAAAATTTAAATCTGATGAAAAGAGAATCTGAGTTTCCTTCTGAATAAGGAATGGTATATATACACAGATTAAATTTTTGAATGCCAATGTTTTGCTGGTGTCTTCACTGACTTCATAGATACCACAGACTAGAGAGATACCGAAGACACATCTATGACAACTAGTACATGGCACTGCCAAAAATTTTGGAAAAAAACTGTGGTTTCACAGAAACAGAGAGAGATAAACCACATATGTATTTTGAAACATAGTCCTTTATAAATTTTCTTCTTTTTCTGATTCTTAACTAATAAGATTGCCTACTTCCTTGCCATATACCAAGTATAGAGAAAATTCCTGGAGGAATTTTTAAGGTGTGATAGGTCTTCGCCTTTGCTATCTATAAAGATAAGTACTTCATGGTACAGAATAACATTTCTGTACCATGTTATTGGGGAGTAGGCATGCTCTGTAAGGATGGGTGCTTGTACATTCATACTTCCACTAGTAAAAGAAAGATCTCTGTGAAGTCTAGCTTTTTATCCACATCTATGAAAATCCTCATTGACTGAAAGCTGATTGTGTTGTGAGAATGCTGCTGTTTCACGTCTTGAGAGGACAGCCATGGTACATCACTGTCTCTCTGTGATGTCACTGAGCAATAGCCACTATCAGCTCACAAAAAAAAATGCTACTTAATTTCTCAGAAACTTCTTTGCCTCTTTTTTACTGCCATTCCAATGACACAGAAAGTAGACATTTGCTTCCTGAGATATGTATATATTGTATCAATGTTTCCCTCAGGTTCAGTAATGCTTCACTATTGGACAAAAAAAACTATAAACACTACCTTTTCTCTTCTTTTTCTTTTTTTAATTAATATACAATTACATATTGTCAGCTTTTAGGGCTATAATCTAGAAGGCAGTGTTGAAAAACAAACATTTAAAAAAATCCGACATGCACTTGGAACAAGACCCTGCTCTGCATCATTGTCCTGGGATGTGGGACATAAGTTACCACAAAACTTGAAGCACACACGGGAAGTCTGATTTTTTTCCTGGCATTCTGCGCTCTCTGTGTTTGTTCTATGAAGGATGTGAAACAAGCAGGCAGGCATGTTTGTTGTTAAAAGAGAGCATGTTTGTGACTAATATGTTTGAGAAACCATTCAAGAACGGTCTATTTTTTTTTTTTTTTTGCAGCAACTACTTCGTAAGGCAGCCAAGCTCTGTTGAAATGAGGTTATCAGCCATGCATGTGTGTGCTAAGGAAGACAAAACTGATGAGGGACACACGCTGCATCTGAAATTTGTAGAAACTATCCAACTTTTAGCTTTGTGAGGCCTTAGGAAATTTCAAGTTCATGTTAGATCACCTCATTTTTCCTGCTGTTTCTGTCCACATTCAGGGCTCTTATATCATTTCAGCCAAGACATTGTACAGCCAAACTCTAAGAGGCTACATTTGCTTTTTGTGGATCCCTTAGGACTCATCAGTGGGACTTCCCATAAACTCCTCTGAGGGAAGGACGAGGGTAGATGGGTAGGAATGGGGAACCGGGTTCTGGCTCCTTGCTCAAACCACAGGCAGACTGCCAGTCTGATCAGAATGAGAATAAACCCCTTTCTTAAGCATTGCACTTTCCATGTGCAGCCACCTTTTTTTAGGCTTTTGGAGGAGGTGGGTATTCAATTTGTAAAATTTCTATGCTCTTCACTTCTGATTTAGCTTAGCCTGCTTCTCAGAGTTTGTCTAGAGAAGAAAGAAACTAAAAGGACATTAAACTCTGGCCAATCTGCTACAAATTCTGTGGAGATACTCATGAACCAGTAATAACTTAGTAAAAGAACATTTCTTTATGGTAGTAAGTTAAAAAAATTCTGGAGAAGAGTTGAGACCATGGTTTTAAAGCAAGTATTAAAAGATACCTAGAGTTTATTTTGCTGTGATATTTAAACTTCCTTTACCACGGAAAATTAAGTGTTGGCATAAATTCTATGACTTATTGTTTAATTACCCTTTGAAAAATAATTTGTAGACCCAAATCTTTCTACAGTCCAATTGTGTGGCTTTACTGATTTGCATTTATAACTTCTGTATTTCTCATGAAGTAAACAGACATTGTTTTAACCAAAAACAACTTAGTACTAGTTGCCATGTTCTTTTTCCCAGGAAAATTTCCACTACTTTTTACATAGAGGAAGTTTTCCTTGTTTGAACATTTTTCAAGCCTCTGGCACATAATTAGAACTACTGGTTTGATTCTAGGTATCAATGCTTAAGAATACATCCTTTACTACCATCCCCAGCCCGTCCCAGCTATTGAACACAAAGAGGAGAATAGTAGCTGAAAGGTGGGCCTGATTGTGAGGGATAAGGCGAGCATATTATTTTAAAGCTGCAGACAAAATATCTATGCTATTTCTTTAAAACACAAAACAATTTTTCTTTCCCAGGTTCATCTGATGTTTCCTGACCACGTACCAAAGCCTTGCTGTGCTCCAACCAAACTAAACGCCATCTCTGTGCTGTATTTTGATGACAGCTCCAACGTCATTTTGAAAAAATACAGAAATATGGTAGTGCGCTCTTGTGGCTGCCACTAATGTTAAATAATAACGGGAATAAGAAAAAGATCTGTACTTAGGTTTACAGATACAATAAAAAGTATACTTTCAGACAAAAGGAGAATTTTGTAAAATTAGTCTGGCTCATTTCATCTCTCTACCTATGTACAATATTATGTATATAGTTACTTTTATTTATTTAAAGGTATATATTCTCTTTTGTGAATGCCTTATCATTAAAATCTATTTTGTAGGTCACTACATTATACAATAGATTACCCAGTCTAACTTTCAATGGGATATGCTAAGTCCAATTCAATTCCATTTCAACATTTTTTTCTAATACAATTTTTATAGGACTTTGGAATTAGAACTCATTTGACTGTTAAATAATTTTGAAGTAAATTGAATGCATTTGGTTATGTTGAACAAATGAAAACTACAATCGGATATTTATAGAAATCAAACTTTAAAACTAACCCAAACAAAAATGCTTAAACATCTTTTTTTCAGTTTCTGCTTCATTAGATAAAGTGAAATGTTGAACTGGATTTGAAAAAATAAATGGTAGGCAGAACATAGAACCTGAGAGATTGCACATGATTGTTATAACTGTTGCTTTCACAGAATCAGTCTAGCTGTAGGAGCACATTCCGTCTTGGCTGGTGAATTGTAGATTTTGCAAAGAGCTCACAGTTTCAGGAACTCTGTAGAGACAGGCTTGAACCTGTGTCCATAACTTTCCAAGTTAATACTAAAAAAATTGCAGTACAACCTTCTTACCTCAAATAAATCATGTCTGCCTACTATCTAGAACACTGCTGCTGCAGATTTTTTTTTCCTGATTTAACAGGAGTCCAAAATAAAAATTTACGTGTGCTCCATTCCGCTCCCCACAGACAAGAGTCACTGCATGCATAAAATATCCTAGAGCAAGATGCCGACAGAGCCATTTTCTTTAGCTCTCCTTTACAACTGAGTCCACTGATTGATGTGATGCAAGGGATTTTATTTAGAGTAAAAGCACTGAAACTAAACTGGGGGAAATTACTAAAAATCCCAGAATGGCTTTGACAGAATTGCCATTTTGAAAGAACAGCTGAAATCCATTTTTCATATCTTTGAGAATGAGCTCAATGAAAACCTTATTTTGTAAAGGGATTTTGTAAACCCTCCTCCAAGCACAAATAATTCCAAATGGGAAGGTTCTGTTGTGTATATGTGCATGTGTGTTCTTCCCTCTGAAATTAATTTATTTTCTCTCTCCATTTCTCTCTCTGCCTTCTAAGGCTTTTCGTTAACACACACTGATTTCTTAAAGAATGCCATTTAGATGAATAACTTGTTATTTATGGTGGCTCCATGGTTGTGCCTATTTATGGTTCATCTATGGGGGGAACCCCCCCAAAACCAGAATTATCTTCTGGAGGGTGGGCCCCTGGTAGTACAGCTTCCACCCCTAGGTGAGCTAAAAACCCATCTGCATCAGTGTACCAGCTGCTGTTGTTGTGAGAGGCTGCATTTGGCCTCTGCAAATTTTTTTTGAAGACTCTTTCAACATGTTTGCTTGTCTCAAGGTGGGTAATTTAGGAGCGCACCTGCCCACACCTCACTGAGTGTTCAACAGTTTTTGACCAAAAACAGCATGACCCCTGTGCCCTACCCTCCCTATTCACTCAATCTTGCCCCAGGAAACATTTTTTGTTGTTTGTTTCCCTGGATGAAAAAAGTTCTCAAAATAAACATTTTTGCCAATGTGCAAGAGGTGAAACAAAAAAGAGCAGAAGTACTAAAAGGCATCAAAATCAAGGAGTTCAAAAGCTGTTTTGAGCAGTGGAAAAAATGTCTTGATGGGTGTCTTGCATCAAATGGAGAGTTCTTTGAAAATGACTAAAGTTTAAACATGTGAGAATAAATATACAACTTTTTATAAATAAATTCTGAGTTTTTTGGGTCCCCCCTTGTAGAATATTCATAAAGCACCATTTGTTACTCACCCTTTTGGATCTTTCAAATAAACATAGAAATAACTTCAAATGTTATGGGTTTGTTTGTAATTCAGGTATGTTTCAATGTTATTTTAAAATACAGTTTATCTTAAAGATTTGATAATAACTATATTGGGGGTACATTAAGTAATATATTTTTGAATTAATGGCATACCATTGTAAGAATAAGAAATGAAAGTCTATTATATTATTCTTTAAATGTGCTGTTTAAATATATTTCTATATTTTAAAATATATTAAACTTGTAATGCTAGTTTCCATTGTGCTTCTTGATTTGACTCTTTATTTAAGAGTAATATAACATGTATGCCATAAAATTGAGACCATAAGAATATCAAAAATACAAATATAAAAATTATGTGGATTACATGATTCTTTATGTTGTTTTTAATTGCCAAAACTAGTTTTTGTGTAATAAATAACTCAATACTAAATAAGCATAGCAAAAATTGATGAATTAATTTTTTCTTAATCTATTCAAACAACAAAGAAATATTTTAAAGACTAAAAATGATGAGAATGGAAAAATATCTCACTTGTTCTATTTAATTTAAGAAGGGAGATTATTGACATTGGTATTTTTATATTTTTCAAATTATGTATATATGTGTATATACACATTTTCAGTCACATATTCTCAAATAACTGTTGTGGTAATTTCTTAGTTTTACTTTGGTTGTGCTCAAGCTATTACTAGAAATCAGAATAAATTGGCCTATTTTATTAGGATCCAATGTACTCGAGTCTTTTCAGGTAGTTATATATTGATTTGTTTGTTCCATGTTTGCTTCTAATTTTTGTGCTTTACATATTTTTGCTTTATAATGTATCCCTAATCCTTTTTGAAAATAGAAAGGCATAAATCACAAATACTCAAATTCTTTAAAACTGAGGCAAACATGAATGTCTACATTGAACTAAAGAAATAAAAACAGGAGAAAGAACATTCAAACATATTTTTTCTCATTTTATAATTCCTGCAACACCATCATCGAATCTGAACCAGAGTCTAATGGTTACTATACAGTCTGGCAACTCCCATCTCCCCAGACATTTGCAATGAATAATTAGCTAGTGTTGCAGCTACCTTAAAGGCAGAAGGAATCCTCCTTTCCAGACACAAGTTATTGTCTCATAACCACTTAGTCAAGTGCTCAATCTATCATCCAATTTCCATCTCGGATTACCTCCTTGTCTATGTTTTCTCTTCACATGCATTTTTTTTGGCTTCAAAATTTTAAAGTTATAAGTGAAGATGGCTTTGCCAATGAAGCATATTCATTGCTTAGTATACATCTATACATCTGTATTTTATCAAGTTTGGTTAAGATCATAACTAAAGGGAAGGTAGGAAAATAGATGCCAGAATTTATTCTTATTTAGGCATAAAAGTGACACTGTATCCAACTTAGCAATTTAAAAAGAGCAAAAGTTCTGCAAAAATTACTTCCAAGTCCATTGTAATATTTGTTAAAGGATTTTTGAAAAATGGGAATTTCAAAGACTGGAGAAACCAGATGAGATATAGCCATTAAAAACGACAAAGAAATGTTTGGCATTTAAAAACTTGCACCTTAACCTTTGCATCTTAGTTTCAATTTGACAGAGGCAGGTAACCTCAAAGCTAGCTAGTCTCAAACTGAATGCATTGAATATGTACACAAAGGGGAATGGATGGGTTGATAGCCTCAGATTTTGCAATCTACAGATAGGAAGATGAGAGAGGTAACACTATATAAGCAGCCTTGAGATTTAACCAGTCTTGAAATAGTACCAAAACTGATGGTTTGGTCAGGTGTGACTACCACTACCTGGTGAAATATAATAGAACCTACTTAAAAAGCTGGGCAGTGTTTATTTTTCTGCATGTACCTATAGAAAAAGTCCAAACAGGAAAATAATTCTCTACCTTGAACCACAAGGCAATTAAGATGTCTTAGACTATATGTTTTTATATTCTCTTTAATGAAACACACACACACACACACACATATATATATGGAGCATAAATGATATATTTTATGTGTTTTAAAGATGAGAGCACTGAAACATGAATATGAAACACAGGATGGGGAAAACAGGTTTATAGCTGTGATGATGGGAGACATAGAGTTTATTCTTGTATTAATATTTATTAATTATTGTATAATATTCCTTATGAACAACTGTAAACCTTGTTTTACCTCACCCTGTATTTTAAATGAACCATTAGAACCTCTGAGAAGGAAAAATGTAATACTTAATTTGAAATTCTTTGGATGTGTTAAATAGTAGCTTGGATGTTACTAATGAAAAAAATACTGAGCTGCAAGATAGATATGAAAAAATTATCCAAAAGGTAGGATTGAGAAAGATAGACTGATGCAAAGTCTAAAAGAACTTGATGTACATGGGGACAGAAAGGAGCTCATAACATCCATTTAATCAGTATTGCAGAAGATTAGGAATCATTTGGGGGCTAACAGCTAACATCTCTATCAAAGCTGACTTCTCAAAGTGAAAATCAGTCAACAAGTAATTACTACCTTCAAATTGCTAAGGAAAAATAACTGCCAATTAGAATTCTGTATCCAGCAAAACTATGTTAAAAATTTGAGCAAAATGAAAACATTCTCAGGAAAACAAAACTGATAAAAAATTTACCATCAAGAGCTAAGCCATAGGTATGGTTCCACCTCAGGAAGAAAATTATCCCCAAAAGGAAAAATGATACAAAAATGATGAACAAGGTAAGTGAAGGGTAGACATAAATAATGTCTAACAATTATTTAACAAGCAAGTAAGAGATAGCATTAAATAGGGTTAAATATAGTAAAACTCAGTACAACTATAGAATGTATGATGGAAGATGGATGGTTAAAATATAGGTTTTGCATTCATTTGATGACAATAATTACATTAGACTCATTAACCTCAGAACACAAAATAGTATGTATATTTTAAACCAGAATTGACAAAGTATTTCCGTCAAAGATATGATAGCAAATATTTTAGGCTCTGTGCTTCTGATGTAACTACTCAGCTCTGCTGCCGTAGCGTGAAAGCAGCCACAGACAAGATGTACACTGATATGAAAAGCTGTGTTCCAGTAAAACCTTATTTACAAAAA